CGCCAGAGCAGCGCCTTCTACCACTCGTCCACGAAACGCGCGGAGTAACACTTTTTCTATTTTTTCATGCGCACTACTTTAGTACCTTTGACAGCGTTGCACGCTAAGTATGAAACAGAGTATAAGACACCCTATTGTCTGGTACAGAGACCATTTATGAACGCTTGGGTGTTTAAACGATGTACTACACATTTTACAAAAAGAAAAAAAAAATTGGGTGTTTGAACGTTGTACTACCCTTTTTTCAATAGAAAAAAGCAACAATAAAAAAAATAACACACTTCAGAAGAAAAAGTTAAGGAAACGGAATGTACCATTATGTTCAGTGAAGTTTGGTGACAAGACTCGGGACTCGAGCAGGAATGCAGTCATCCTTGGTGTGACCCCATGCGACGGTCTTGCTGCCTTTGCTAGGGTTTATCTAACTGAAGTACCTGTACGAAAAGTAGAACACATGTGCATAACACTCATTATTCACAAGAAAATTTGTCAATGTCCAAAATGACCCATGAAGAAAATTATGCGAGGAATTTTCAGGCTGTGTTGGCCGAGTCACCTCTCGTGGCCAACGTTTCATAGCAACTTTAATTGTTGTGAACAGTTATAGGGTATATTACGAACAAAGTGCAATTTGGTTTTGTAGGAACCTAACACACAAAACGACACTTGTATACAGTATGTTGAGGTGCCTCTAAACAAACTCCAGGGTTTCATGGCGCTTCCTTCAGATACCTGATGTTGAACATGAAATATGTGCACCAAGGAGTGAGCAAACAGCGACTTCAGATTTGTCTCTAACACCAGCGACATGTCGACAAGGAGTGCAACGTGTAGAAGGTCGTCTAGAAGTGTGCCAAGATGAAAAAGCAAGATGTAACGATATCAGAATAAGATCACACCAACGAGGCACCAGTGTGGTGAGACAATCTACGATGTAGAGACAGTAATCGGGAGTCAACCGACGTACGGCCGCGATTTACTTTGCAGCGACTAAAATGAAACATGGCAAAAAAAAAAAAAAATTGAAAATAAAAAAACGCGTTTTTTTTTTTTTCTTTTTTTACTTTATTTGTTGAGCGCAGCCGGTAGCAGAGCAGTTGGGCGGCGTCACGAAAATCTGACAGACTCGCTAGCTTTTCTCAACTTCGTACGGCGCCAGTCGGCACCACAGATGAATGGTCGGCACTCTTAGGGCTCATTCACACTGGAAGCGGATCCGCGTTCGCAAAGCGGTTGCGAACGCGGTTGTATAAGGATTCAGTACAATTGCACGCGCACACGATGACATCAAATGCGCGTGCAATTGCACTGGATCTTTATACAACCGCTTTCGCAACCGCTTCGCGAACGCGGATCCGCTTCCAGTGTGAATGGGGGGTTACCGCTCATTCACATTGGAAGCGGATCCGCGTTCGCAAAGCGGTTGCGAACGCGGTTGTATAAAGAACCAGTACAATTGCACGCGCATTCGATGACATCAAATGCGCGTGCAATTGCACTGAATCTTTATACAACCGCGCTCGCAACCGCTTTGCGAACGCGGATCGCTTCCAGTGTGAATGAGCGATTAGTCTACCAGGGAAGAAAAAAGTACGAGCTCAGAGCCCAGCGTCGATCGCGACTTTCGTAAAGAGAAGCTCCGGTAACACTTCGGCGACTCGCGAGCGTTAAACAACGCCTCTTCGAACGAGCCCACGAATCCAACACGTCGAACGGTTTGCGCCGGTAAGCACGCTGGGAGCCAGGGGGCTGGAGGTTCAATATCCGAAAGAGACGAGGCGCTGCTTTCTACGTCTATTTCGCACATGAGATAACAAGCCGAGTGATAGCTAGCCGAGTGTAAACACTGACTGACGTTACATCAGAGTACACGCAGTCGAAATGACGTCTGCAACAGAGCTCAGCCAGACGCTTTCAGCGGGGACGCATGCGTTCAAATAAGCTGCGATTTCAAAACATCATGTCTCCCTTCTGTCCTTCAGTGTTCACTTTGATCTGTGTATACCAAAGCAATCAATGCTGCAAGTAATAAAGTCGTCTATACGTACCTTTCGAAGCGATTGAAAGTGCGTTGGTTTCACTTGGAACCCACAAGCAAAGTGCGCGACGAACTTGACGAGCTGTTATCCGTCGGTTCCGCCGGGTTGGCGCGGTCGCGGTCGTTGCGCAATGGCGGCGCAATCTCGGCGGCTCCTTGGGCGGCTCGCTCAGCCGCTTGTCTGGCAGCGCATGCGCGCAGGCGCGCCGGCTCGCCTCCCTGGCCTCCCTTCGGAGTTCGAACTGCCTCCAAAGCTCGAGCTGCTCGAGCGCTCGAGCTTTCGCGCGCGCGGGTTGACGATGGAAACTTCTCTCATAAAACGAGTCTGTAACGTATCGTTTGATGGCGCAAATGCACGTATTTTTCCCGTCGTTTTTTACAGTGTGTGAATCTTGCGAAACAGGCGACGAAGAGTGGTGGGTGAAATGTGCTCGAGTGGTTGTGGATTTTGTGTACGACGTAGGATTACCCAGAAAGGTGGGTCAATATCGATAAATGTGCGGGTAAGAAGCACGTGAACCTGTCAAGCCCATTAATCCTCATTATTTTATCGTGCGAACTGACATTGTCACGTATCGCGTTCGATTTGGGTTCCAACATCGGTAACCTAACTTTTGTTGCATTAAAACTGCAATAAACATTTGTTTGAAAACGATCACTCCAATGAGCACGTCGTTATTGGGCTTTCTCATTGAAAGGTAGGTCGCGGGTGTCCCAGCTAGTTATTCTGAATGGTTTGGTGGTTGTCTAGCATTTCAAGCGCTCGAGGCTGTGTGTACTGTGTGCCGTACGTACACTTGCGCTTTCGATCAATGTGAATATGTTTGCAACGCGGAACGTTTGTGTTCTGTGTGTATCCACCTCCAAAATCGTTCTCTCTCGTATTGCCGTATGGTAACTCCTGCTGTTCTACGATATCATTCACGCGATGTCGTATATGTGGGCGTACCGATATCCACATGTTGCTTCACGGGCGATCAATACTGTGATACGTATCCTCTTAGTCCGCGGTATATGCCGACGTAATTCATGTTGGTAACTCGGAATTCGTTCTGAGATTTATCCACGCGATAATGTATTCTCCTTTGGGCCCGTGATCGAAGACCGATATTTATATATCGTGTGGCCGCACAGTATGTCCATGTCGGTCACCAATATGCACGCGGTGTCGTATTCTATTCCAATAACCGTAAGTTCTGTCGGGATATTGTGCTTCGATATCGTGTTGTATACCAATAACCGCAAGTTATATCGGAATATTGTGCTCCAATATCCTGTTGTATACCAATAACCGTATACAATATCGGGATATTGTGCTCCGATATGAATTCCCATCGTGCGTATTGGGTTAATCGGATAACAATAAGTTTTTATTGGTTTCCATCAACTTCATTGGAATACAATATTTCCAATAAGCCGAGTTCATATTGGCCTTTTTCAATAGGGTTCAAAAAATTTTATCGCCAGAACTTTTTCTTTTCTTTCCTTTTTTTTTGGGGGGGGGGGGGGGGTTGGGGTGATGTGTTTGGGATTCTCTAAGTTTTGGAGTGGGTACAAGATACCCACCCCTTTCCCCTAACCCCTCCCTCCCCCTGCGACAAACACATACACATACATTGATGGCCTGTGTCCGATCCCCGTGGCGTGAGTACCGTTTAATCTGAAATGCACCACCCAATGCTAATTAATTTTGTTTTAATAGAAGCAAAAACATTTGCTTGAAATTATTATAATTCTGAAACCAGAACCACCAATATTTTTATGAACTCGTCGAGGCTCAAAGTCAGTGTCATTCACAACACAAAGTTGAGAACTTCTAAACCACTCTGTTCATAGCGCGACAAAATCGCACCACACGCGAAGTGCAGATAAATAAAATCCAACACACTCAACGGCTTCGTGCCAACGCCTTCGTACCCTAATCTCCTAGTACCCCCGTACAGCGTCCGCGCCTCCGCACGCAATCCGCACTCACACTAGAGTCTACTCACACACTTTGAGTGGGGATAAGAATCCAACAGAATCCAAAGTTATTCACACTCTGAGTGCGGATTAGAATCCACCACTATCCACACTCGGTGTGCGAATAGGGACAGCCACAAACCAACTCCCACACCTGCCAGGCGCTCTCGCTTGTACAGTGGAGACACATTCAAATCAAGGAGATTCAGCTTTGAATGTGAAGGCTTCCTACTTCAACTTTTAAATACTTGAGGTTCTGTTAAAGTTGAAGGGAGTCTCTTAAAGCATTTTTGGAACCATGTCCAAAACCCAGTGCTGGGTACAATTTTAGTCTAAAATGCTGGTCCACACTGTCGCTACCCGCTAGGACTGAGTCTGACAAAACCAGTCTTCAAGCCTCTTGTGACAGCTTATGATCGTGCTGCGCAGCAGCAATGTTATTCGTAAGCAACTTAAAACCCTGTTTTGTTCAACTTGGTCATAGTCGGTTGCAACAGTGTGAACCAGCTTTAACACCTCAGGTGAATGTAATCAGCAGTAGCTTCAGGATAAACTTGCGCATTGTACTATCCCAAAGTATTTTGACCACATCTCCGGTGTTGATTCTTGATTTCTATCCCAGCACTACAGAACACGTCAAAAGGCTTGTTGATTGCTGTGCATGTGCCTATCAAGCGAGCTGTGCTATTTTTAGGTGGTGTTTAATTTGTTTTGAAGTTCCTGGGGATCTTTTAAGGCACCGGTAGGTATCTAAGCTCCACATGCACACTGTTCTTAATACAATTACTTCATGCAGAAGTTAATTTTTCTTATTTGGTTGAGTTTAATGGTGGTGTCGTCATGGTCTTTGCACTGTCGACGACAAGAGAAGCGTCATGTTGCACTTGTTCTTTTGTTGATCCGTGAAGCAAGTTCTGGTTTCTTTTTTGTTCCAGAATGTCAGTCTGAGTCTTATTCATGATGTTGCAAGAAGTCTGTATGATGACGAAAAAAACTGCAGGTGACTAGAAGCTGCCGATGAGCTGCCAGTCCGGATGGCAGCTATCAACACGGCAAGGGCCTGCAGCCGCATCAGCCCTCCCCCCGTTCCTCTACTGCCATTGGAGACAGGATGCTTTGTAAAAGGTGAAACAGGGCCCTTGCACTGCTTCCACAGCGCTCTGCTGGATTTATCTCACATTTTGATTTTCAAAACAAACAACATTACGAACTGTAAAATACCGAACAAACGCCCACTCTAAATTGGAGATAATCATAGAGAGCTGGGGGTTGAGCACTTGGTAGGTACGATAGTTGGTAAGTGTTCATGGTCCCTTGCTTGGTCTGTGCACGGAATTACGAATAGATGCATTTCCGGAGCTAGTTAATTATGCAAACACAAAAAAACAAAGCGTGTCCTTTTTTTTTCTTTTTACAGAGAAGCATTTTGAAAAGTGTTCGATTAGCATTGGCTGTTACTAAAGCCTTCAATTTACTCTTCTGAGTTAGAACAAAAGAGCAACCCATCTTTTCTTGTACACCACTTTCTGTGGCAATAAAAAGAAAGCTAGGGGGGGGGGGGGGGCAGGCAGGCAGGTGCAAATGGCTCTGTGTTAGCGCACCACGTAGTTCTGAACTTCTTTTGGTCTCGGTTTGAGTTTGGGTTTTGGCATGTCAACCACGCAGTTACTAGAGTGCATCTTTTTTGTACGAGGATTGCAGTTGAGGGAGTTGAATTGGGATTGCCGAGCATGGCAGGCACATTCACATCTCTTTACTTTCGGGTTACCCTGCACTGCCCGAAGGCATTATTGCGGGGGGGGGGGGGGTGAGGGGAGGGGAGGTGTGTAGTCAGTCGTGAAGGTAGAAATACGCCCGTGCATATGTACCAAAAAAAAAACAAGAAATGCAGGCACACAGGTAAACACATTCAAAAACAAAAGCGAGCCCAGAATAAGATAAAAGCCACATTGGTTGCTCACATTCTATAGTCGGTGACAGGTCAATAAAGAAGTGGAAGCTGCTCCCACCTTTTTCCACTATAGCAGACTGAACCCTGGAGAGGAGGCGCCCTCCTTTCCAGCGTTTGCTCCGATAAAGGGGAAAGAGGTGGGAGGAGCTTTCACTTCATTCTTGACCTGTCACCGACTATAGGTACCTGCCAACGTTCCATGTTTTTGGACGTAAGCCAACACTTTGACCAGTAGGATGAATTGGGCTGTTGTATATTGGGTGTATCAAGGAGCGGCCAGGCTCTTTAAATCGACTGCGAAATTCGGTTTTTTTAACCTATCGCACTACGACTTTGTGCAGCGTTGCTCAGGGATGGTGCATTTGTTTTGTAAAATTTGCAAAGAGCGAACTTACCTGAGGAAAAAGTAAAGAAAGAAAAAGGCTTAGCTCCTATGGAAATGCGACGAAGCCAAAGGTCTTCAAACAATATGGCGCCGTTTCACTAGAGAGACAAAAGATGGCGCAAGGCGTCACGACGCCAACTGCGCTAACGTACGTGCATACGGCGCCGAAAGCTGGCGTCTTTAGCAGACAATCTTTTCGACTCAAAAGTGGCACGAGCTTTTCTGATATCAGTTGCCAATGCATTATTTTATTATCCTTACTGATAAAACATATTGAATGGACACATAATCGATTAGAAAAGTGTTTTGTTGGGATATTTTGACTGTTTTTTTAGGAGTACCGATGTCATCTGCTTTGCAGTTCCTTGTTGTTACCGCGTCTCTTTTTGTTTCTGCGACTGTCGCCGCCTGCGGAATGCACTCTACTTTTGAGTTGAAAAGATTGTCTGCTAAAGACGCCAGCTTTCAATGCCGTATGCTCGTTCGTTGGCGCAGTTGTCATTGTGGCCGCTTGCGCCATCTCTTGTCTCCCGTGCGAAATGGTGCCGTATTGTTTGAAAACCTTTGCCTTCGCCGCATTTCCATAGGAGCTAAGCCTTTTTCTTTCTTTACTTTTTCCTCAGGTAAGTTTGCTCTTTTCAAATTTTACAAAAAAGTGCACCATCTGTGGGCAATGCTGCACAAGTCATAGCGCGATAGGTTAAGAAACCGAATTTTCCGGTCAATTTAAAGAGCCTGGCCACTCCTTGATACACCCACTAGTTACCACATATGTGTGCAGGTCACTCATGCAGTTGTTAATGACCATTGGTACCCAACTCAACCTCGTGCAGGGTGTCTATGAACTGGAAAAATGGTAATGTTGAGGAAGTTGGCGATTGCAAAAGCCTGAAGATTTCCACCCTAATCACCATCGATCAGAGATATTCAGCCTTCCTTCAGCCTCCCTTTGTCTGAATGTCAGCAAAAGACACGTGTGGTGTGACACATAAACCTTCCTACTCAGGAACTCAGGCAGCTTGCCAATGTAAATCTCTGCTTGGAAACTATAGAGTCTTGGGAGAATCCAGAGATACAATTTCATCTCGAAATGTATGAAAAACACAAACTTCTGTACTCTAAGTGAAGTGCTGCTGCTTATGGCAGTGCTGCTTATGGCAGATTTGTGGAATGGTTTCATAGTGCGACAGGTTCTCTCTAGAGCTACCCATTTGCTCCTGAATGGACTTTCCATGGGATTTTTTTACAGGTTGTGGACATCATGGCTATTGAGGTAGTTTCTGCTGCGGGGAAGAGAATATCCCTCAGCTTGACAGTCCACAGAAGCTTTAGCAGCCAGGATTTTGGATGTCGTGAGAGCAATGACGTTTGCCTTTAGCTCATATTTTTTGCCAGAAGTTGTACAACCAACTGCCAGGGTTGTCTCATCCGACAGCAGGACATGCTGGCTACTGTGGCGTCATTTAATGCTGTCGCTTAGAGACCACCTTTAATGAGTGGGTGGTATAGAATGCTAGAATGCAGAGGTGCATTCCAGACACCATGCTGTAGCATCTGCTGCTGGGATGTTCTGATTGGTTCTCATTGCAGTCATTACAATTTTCAGATCGTTTCTTTTCTTCAGTGGGAGCTCATGAAGGTGGCACTGTGCACAGAGGGATAGAGTGGCTAACAGTGAGCTGCCCAAACAACCTGCTGGCTCTCGAGACCACCTCCGAAAGCCTCTGGATGGGCTAATTGACAGGCGTGCCTGGACATTTATAAACGGTAAACACAACCTAGACTACCTTTGAATTACGCCTTGGTCTAGCTGCTGTTGCCAGGATACCGTGTTTGGCTGCTAGAATTGAACTGGATATGCTAAGCGGCACATGTTGCCAAGTAGGGACACGCTGGGACGCTTATCCACAAACTGCGCTTCCCAGTCCATGAGCCACCAAAGACCCAGCCAAAGAGATCCCGAGTCAAGTCAAAGTTTTCTGTTAATCTTGCTAGTAGCAGCGTCGTAGTCGTTAATTAAAATGTCGGCATTGCCCCGCTCATTGCGGCACACCGAGCAAAGCAGAGCGAAAGAACGGAGATAAAGACTTCCAAAAGTGACGTCATTAGCAGGGTCTGACAACCCTTGCTTGCCAATAGGCTGACTTGGGGATGCCAATGATGATGTCACGAAGCTTTGGACAGATTACATGTGGAAGAAAGGCTCAGTGCATGCCCTGCTATAATTGCTGCACATATTCAAAATAAGTGCAGTTTACGTTGACTTTTGCCCAAGTTTAGTGCGATTACTGAATTAACAAGCCAAAATGCTATGTAAGTCTGCTCCTAACTCAGATTTCTTACAAAGTGCTTCAAGCTCCCTTTAATGCTAGTTTGACTTATTTGCACAAGCCTGTGCCAGTGCACAAACTAGAGCCTATACATTCCTGTACTGTTTTACATTTAATGCACTGCCAAAGGAAAAGGTTCAGATACGATTAAGCCCAAGAAGCTAAACCATTACTTTGAATGTGATATACAGTAGACTCTCCTTATTTCAAACTCCAGGAAGCCACGAAGTTTGCATGAATTATCAAAAGCTCAAATTATCAGAGGTTCATCTAAATATGTAGCAAGATAAATTATGATTTGCTATATGGATGGCTACACATACAAAACAGATATTTTATGATTTCCTCTGCACATCCCTATTGGAAAAACGTACAAGAAACAAACCTGCCGCTTGTACAGTTCTGGTATGACACCACCATAATTTCTTGTTGTTATGTATGCAGCTAGTTTGGTTTGGCGTTCTGCATAACTGGAGATACCGGACCGCTATGGCTCCGGGTCTGTCTATACTGGCAGCCAGTTTGCTTGCCGATATGATTCGGTGTGGCTGGTATGATTTTGCGTCCGATGACGTAGGCGACTGCCATCCTTCCAACAAAACGCTTATACCACAGGACCACCGGTATAACTAAAGCATACATGCAGAAAGACGACCGCCATCTTCCAACAAAAACGTCCATCGTTCACCACCGGTATCGTTACATACACCATGAATGTTGAAAAAGAACATAAGCCGCGTTTACATGAATGCGACTTAGTCGCATTGAATCCAGTTGCCACATTCAATATACGGTCATGTAAACGGCATAATGCGCAAAGCGCATCGCATTTTGGAACGGGGAGGATAATCGCAAGGCGCTCGCTGCGGGAGCGAGTGAACAGCTGAGAACATGGCGGCGGCCAACCTCGTCGGCGGCGCGGAGAGCGGTCCCGCAATTTTTTTTCCCGAGAACAAACGCAAGCTTTTGTTGCAATCATAAGTAAGCGGAATATAGCGGAGCTGCTCGGTGAGGGCGGCCCCGTCCAAACCTTTGCGAAGTACGACTTGCGCGTCCGAAGGGGTCACAAAGGCTTCAGTGCAAGCACGAATGACACCGAGAGCTCCGAGCACTGTAGAGCACTGCATGGTAGCGTAGAACGAGCAGCTCCTACTTCGGTGCCGTTCCTGGCTGCGCAAGAGCCTCTCGAACTCGGGGTCCGGTTGGTCCGGTCGCGATCGGTGAGTTCTGGTGCGGCGAAACGCGGAGGCTTCCTCAAAGCGTGCGCACACACGTCGCCTTTCGTTCAGAGTGAACCGGCGGCCCGGCCTGGAGTCCTAAACGCCTTCCGTCTCCCAACTTCCACAGTATACCGAAGACAGCGGGCACGATCTTTACGTTCACTGAATGCGTCGAAAGGCCTCCACGTGCGATGCACCGGAAAACGTGGTGCGGCTGGTGCCGGAACGGAACTGCATAACTTCGAGCTTTGAGTCAACGTGCACGGCAACAAACCGATCGTGACACCAAGCCGCGGATACCGCATCGCCGGTCGACAGCGGCAAACGGCCCGTTGCTCGTATCGTGGGCCGTGACTCGTACTCGGCCAATTTGGCGTCTTTTCGTGGCCCCTCGCGTCGTCGCAACCAGCCACAAACCCGACAAACCCACCAGCCCGAAACCGTAGCGACCGTAGCCTGCGTTGGAGAAAAGCGAAACCGAAACTTAAAGCTTCCGCCCAGTGGCTTCCGCTGCTGCGGCTTTTCTAACTTCGCGGCTTCCACTTCCGGTCGTCGCAGAGATGGCGAAGATAGAGCGGTGTGGGGGGTCGTTGGCTCGTTTACGGTTACGGGACAGATGTTTTGCGGTCCGTTTCTACTGCGTCTGTGGCTCTCAACTGGACGGCGCCTCTCATAGTTCAACCAGGCGTGGTCAGCCTGCGTCAGGCCGGCTCGACTCGTCCGATCGCCGGACCGCAGGCGACTTCCAAGTACGGCCGTTAGGCCTAGGATCCGAAGGCCTAGGATCCGTGAAGCGGTAAGCGAATCTCGTCCCGTTTTCGTTCTACTTTTAAATTACGTTTGGTGCGCTACAGTATAAGCATGCGTGCCAAGTGTTCGTGACAATTTTGAACTAGAATAATTGTGCTTCATTGCGGTCATTTGCCGAAAATGTAAATCGAGCAATGAACGAGGAGCCATGCTTGAAAACTGTGTATGTACGATGTTAACTTCTACCTGGGCGGCTAAAAAAAAAAAGTCAAGACTGGTTACGGTTGGATGCGAGGCTGGTCCCAATGCGATGGTAAGCACTTACAGCGCCTTTCTGAACGGCATGTTAGCAATATAGCGATCAACGAGACGAGCGACGGCGAGAAGCTACGAGAGCTGGCGCCGAGCGCCGAAGATTTCTCACTCTCGCTGCTTGCGCCACTCGGTTCTTGGGCTTCTAGAAAACGTCGCTCATCGCCTTGGTCGCTCGCACCAATCGCTTTCATAATGTGTGTCTCGTCGCGCGGCTGACTGCCGTGTTTATTCAAATATAAGTCGACTTTTTTTTTTTTTTTCGGAAATTGTGATTAAAGAATTTCGACACCTACATTCGCGACCAAATTTTGCGACCCTACCGGAGGCATGAAGCTATCGAGTCACCGAGCCGGCGTTGCCGTAGAGCCGCGCCGCCTCTTGTTTCAAAAAGCTTTTGGTTGCCGAAATGGCTCGCCGCCCGCGGTGGCCGGTGCCCGCTATCGCGCACACCCCTCGGGCGTCGGATTTCGACATCACGCCTCTAGCGTTCCCCTTGCTGGGCAACGGGTAAGGAGAGGAACGCGATGTGCCATGCACTTTACCCTCCATCCTCGCAAACGCGCACAAAAAAAAAAAAAAAAAAAAGATGTTATTTTTGTTAGTTGCTTGAGGCGGCTCGGCTGGCGTGTTGCTCATGGCGACACGGCGGCTTTGCTTGCGTCTTTGTAGTTTGTCTTCCGTCGCTTCGCACCTTTTTTCGTTTCTTGTCGTCATTTTACAACGGTGTCAGTGAAGTATTGCTGCGAATTTGCGAGGATGTCTACCCAGCTGACGAAGCTTCGGACGATGATAACATGTCCAGAAGTTCTGACGGTGATGAAGTTTTTGGCATCGCCCCGTGATTTAGCTGAGAGTGATGTAAATAAAGGTTTTTTTCTTTCTTTTGCCCAAAATTTCCCCTGTTCTTAAAAATAAAAAAAAAAAAGGTCGACCTATATTTGAATTTTTTTTTTGTTCTTGGTGGATTTAATAAATAGGGTTCGACCTATTTTCGAGTAAATAAGGTAACTTTAATTTTTATTTTGGGTTACGTCGGACGCAACTCGAATGCTTGACAGTTACGTTGGGCGTAACTTTAATTTTTATTTCGGGTTCCGTCGGACGTAACGTTAGAAACTCCGTTACACTTAAGGAAAGTAGGGGCTGCTGGTTCATCATATAAACCAACCATTTGTGTTTAATTAAAATGCATCACTGACCTAAAAAAAAAAAAATACTGCTATCCTAGAGTTTATGCTATAGGAATGTAGCGCTTCAGATAAATTTGTTAATTTTTACTTTTAGTCCCTGCCCCCTCCAGATACAACATCTGGCCTAAAGCAGTCTTCCGGATCTCCTTCCAAGACCTCAGGCGGGTCGTCATTCAATCCATGAGTCGGCGGCGTCTCATGGGCGTGTTGCTGGTGCTTACTGGATGGTGCTACCGAGGGAAAAGTGGTCATGCTTGGGAAAGGCAAGTATGGCCGCCGTAAGTATACATATTGTCTTTACCTTTGCTCGAATCCACTTTTAAGAAATGCACAGTTCGCATGTGTGCATCTCTCAATGTTTCCACAGTCGGCTGTTTTTTTTTGTTTTTTTTTGTTTTTTTTGAGTGCTCCAACTCTGTCAGCGCTAGTTTCTCTAGATCATCCAAATGGGATGCAACACTAAACCACATATGCTCTCGCAACAAACAGTGCTGTGCAGAAGCACAGTGGAATTTACTCTAGCTTTATAATGCAGCACAAAATAGTTGACTCCAAGTATAGCTACTTTTGTGACTCCGTTTAACCAAAAGCTCTGCCGAAACAAACTTGCCGCCTTATAGGTAGTGCAAAAGAACCTCGCGTGCCTAACCTGGAGAAGGGCATTTTTTTTCATAGGTCAATTTTTTCTTAAACCGATACCTTCAGCCTCCTTGAAATGTTAACATCATGTGACACACGGAAGAACAGTAAACTCTTTAATGTTGGCGAACCTTTTATTTTCGCGGCCTTTAATTTTGCAGAATTCAGTGGCTGCGATTATGTCCTCTGTGACCGATTCGAGAAGAAATAGGGGCCACGAAGATAAGGGGGTTTTACTGTACA